TCAGTGGTAGAAATTGCTTAGAAAGAAAGCATAGATAGCATTTAATGAATAAAGAGCATGAATTGTGCTGTTAGATGTTACCGACTTCTATATATTGTCATCAAAAAGTTAAAATCACAAGTACTGCTGTCTAAACTTTGATAATGGTATCCAATCAGAGGTACCGGACAGAATTTATGGTTTCTGGTGTTCTTTTGTCATTGTTCCAGCATAAAACATTAGCAAAGTTGTGATTTAATCTATAGCAGAAATAAGGTTCAACACACTGTGGCTCCTTTACTTTGGTAGCTGTAAGGTGTACTTTCTGCTTATCAATTAGGATTCAAATGTGCTACCTCTGGCCGTCTAAAGATTTCATTTAAGATCATATGACGCAATTCCTTAAGGTTCGATATGCATTTTCATCACAAGGCTAAATGGCCATGATATTATTGATATTATTCGAAGATCCTTTAAACGCAAACGACGGTATCTCCGAAGATTAAAACTTTAATCAAGAATATAGGACATATAAAAGTTTTGAATATTCTGGTTGGATGTCAAAAATGTCATCGGCAGATATTTGTAGTGAAGAAAGAAAACTAAGTTCGCATGATGTTGCAGCGACGTAACATGCACGGAACACCTTACATCACTTGACATAACACTTAGTATTGTGGGAATTACACTGAGTTTGGATTTTTAGAAAATAGTAAATATAAACAAAATAACTAACAAACTTCCCATGATTCTTTGGTGTTAATAGCTTTCAGGAAGTTTCGAAGCATTTCGAGGAGTCTCGACGTTTTAAGCTTATAAAGAATTTGAAAATGTAATTAACAATAGCAAAAGATTTCAGTACTTTTGCTTTCCCTTTTTTGCTTCTGAAAATTTCCCGCATTTAAGTGCAACTGAAATGTGAAATTCTGGATGCCCAATAAAACTTCTCAAACTCACGTAATCACGTAAAAAAAAAGAGAAATTCAGGATTAGGACAAATCATGTTCCCTGATTCAAGACATCATTTTAGCATAACGATGCGAGAAGCCAATAATACAGCAATCGAACAATTCACTAATTAAATGAGTGATATTCACATTTTAATAGTCCAGAAAATTTAAATGAAATGCACAATAGCGAGAGAAACTAGCAAGATATTGCCGAACCCGGCATTTCTCCAATAGGATGATGTGCCATCATTTCGACAACAATCATAGCCACAACAATATTCGTCGTAGTTGCAACTCCAGACCAGCTCTTTTGGTTTCCTGCCATCGTCAAAGTATACATTACCCAGTTGCGGATCGTCTCCTTGGATAGGCACACGACACATATGAGTACCATAATCACCACGATAATAGTTGGAGCCCCAATAATATGGACGGTTATTCCACCTGAATTCCTTCTAATTAATCAAATAATATTACAGTACTATGTTTTCGAATGGTAATATCGACAATTCCCAAAGTGAATAGATACGTTCTTTACCTGTCAACTTATTAAAAGATTACGACAAACAGACTTGATAAATTTGAAGATGAAAAACGGACATCATTGGGGCATGAGCTCTTCGTATCAGTGCTTTCCCGGCTTTATAAGTAAGGTAACCAGCTGCAGCACCAGCAACGAAAGAACCAATGTTTGATTTCGTAAATCTAAATAAAAATGATGAAATAATTTTTATTTAGCCTCTAAAATATCTTAAAGGAAATTCACATAATAAATCAAATTGCATCTACTAATATCAAATCTTCTTGATCTTTGCTATTTAAAGTTTAAAAAAGAAATAAAATCTGTTTTATCAAGTGTAATTCATCAAGAATTAAAAAAAAAAAAAAAAAAGCGACAGCGGCTACAAAAGAACTATTCTCTAATATGGTAAAAACGTCAAACATAAAAATAAAAAAATGCCGCTGAAGAGAACGTCAGAAATGAAACTCACAAGCTACCACCACGTCGTTGTCCCCATGAAGTACTGTGTGAGCTGCTGCCCCATCGACCACCACTTGTTTTGCCAATATTACCACCTCCATACATCCCCCATCTACTACCACGTGGATTACCAGATGATCCACCTCCATTTTTACGTAAACCACCAAATAAACCACTGGATCGACTAGCAGATATACCACGACCGCCAGTAAATGTACCACTTCGTTTAGACCCACATTCTTTTATTACGAATAATAATAGTAACACTAATACTAATAAAGAAAGCTGTACAGGTAAAAAGCGTTGTATATTCATATTTTTTTCATACCAGTTCAGTCTGAAAACACAAGCTGCATTTGAAATTTATTACAGGTTAACCTTTAAGTAAAGCAAAAGCAATTGTGATAATATTTTTTGAATTTGGCCAGATGTTATGTATTTTTTTGTATCACTTTAGTAATCGTAAAATATACTTTTGTAGATGCTTTTATCATCACATTTCACTCCAAACCACGCATTAGTTAAATTCTTCTTAATCAATTAACTGATTTGCCATCTTTAAACTAACAAACTCAAACCAAATGAAATTTAGGTCTGTATCCCGACGTATGTTAATTGAATTTCTGATAAATAAGAAGTTAATAATCGAGAATTTCCGGTTCACCCGTGCTGATATTTCTAGATATTACTGCTTATCTGTAGCAGTAATCAAAATTTAGGGAAGTGTTTGACAATACCAACTGCAGTAGGACTTACTGTCAAAGCCTGACCTGAATCACAGACATATCGTCAGCTGTCGGCCTTAAGTCATTTTCTTCTAGTTTGTATGAGAAATCTTATTTCTAAGACATTCCCGTCATTGCTCTCTATCACGTTATGGCTCATGATGCTCAAACATTATCAACTAACTTTTCTTCCTTTCCCTCTTCTTACTTCAATCTCACTAGACATGTGTAATCCAAACAAACTGACCCATCCTGTCCACTCACTGTCGCACAAATCAGTTTATGGGAAAATTAGTTGCTAATAATGTTTGAATCAATATTGAACACTGAAAAGAAAACAAGAAAAACGATATTTCATCACTATCATAAGGAAAAGCAAAGCGGAGTAGATGAATTGAAGACTATGAGGTGACTTTGGCTTCCTGTTATCATCAATTCTTTCCCACTCTCTATTACTCATCTCGATTTTCACTGGACCACTCTCGAATGTTTGGTCTATCCAGCCCTACTGCCATGCTATTTTCTGATTAATAGTGTGTGTGTGTGTATATATATGCCTGTCTGCTTATTACTTCATTGTCAAGGAGATCCTTCTAGAATTTTATATAGTGCAATTATTCCAGTGATATAAATAAAATAGGTCCGAAGTGGTACACTGATCCATCAAAGTACAAATTCTCATCTAATTTCAGAAATTACGAAAAAAGAAATTTTCAAATAACGGAAATTTCCATATCGACAGTAAAATAATCGAAATTTGCGTTATTCAGAAACAATCTTAAAAAAAGATTTGTTTAAACTGAAATGCTCTAATATGATTAATGTGGAATGCGTAAGTTTGACTGACATTGGTTGACGTATAAAGCTTTCTACATGTTATATTAACAAATGATGATAATTTGTCATTTGATGCAGCAACTGCTTGTAACTTACATTTTTTCGAAATTTTTAAGGGACATTTGACAATCTTGAAAAGAATCCTAAATGCAGAAGAAAATCATTCTGTTAAAAAGGCGAGAAATATTGCCTTTTAAATTTTCAGTTATTGTGCAGATATCTCACATTTATTTGGTGGTTATTTCCTGTTCTTTAGACTAATAATTACTTTTGACCGTTAACAATGTTAAGTTTTATTTTACAAATGAAAGAAGTTTAATTTCCAGAAAAAATTTTAGACACCATTTACTTCAGTTAAATGACTAGGAATTTTCTCAAGCTCCGGAAAATTGAACGTGTGCATCTGCTAAGCTGTCAAAATGGTTTATTTGCATATCAATATGATTGTGTCTTAAGCAAAAAATTTATAATGAAAATGTTACATCAAATTAAATTTGTATATTTTATTCTATTGCGCGTTCCACTGTATATCCTATAACAAGATTTAGGTGGCTAAAAGATATTGTCACATAAGCGTTTACGTTGTCTGTTAATATCTAACTTGCGACAAATCAGACCTTTGTTAAAGTCAGGGATATTTAACCAACTACAACAATCGCTAGAAGAATATGAAGTTTACCTATGTTACAATCTAATTTGAAACACTCGGTTAAAACAATGTATTTCAACTCGCGAACAGTGAAAAATCTCATCATTTACCATAGAATGCAATAATACTGTTGTTAGTAAAAGTACGTCGCAATATTCTGGTTATATTAAATACAATTGTAGCGATTACATTTGTCCTAGAAAGTGAAATTCTTTTTGCAAATTTGCAAACTAAGCTAAATTACTAAAAGAGTTAAAATAGCAAAAAATGAGTTTCTCTTTTTCATTCCTATATTTTTTTAAGTTTTTTCCCTTTTTTTCTTTTTTTCTTCTTTTTTTACAAATATTCTGCAAAATTTCACAGTCTAAAAAAGGATTAAGAAATTAGTTTACCTTATTAATTGTAATAACCTTTGAAAGCACGATTCTTTTTTATATAGTTCTTCAGCTGATGAGTTTCATGATAAAGGCAAACCTTGAATGTAGGAAAGGTATAATTAGTAAGAAAGACGATAATAAGAACATCATATTAATAATAGCAGGATAGCATCAGTAATACCAAGACATCAGTAATACCAAGACACTGAAAATTTTCAAGCATTCGATTTGGCGCACAAAAAAATAACAAGCTGCTAACTAAATTTATGCTTCTGAAAGCTGAGCTACATTATCAGCAGAAAACATAAAGGTATGCAAAAGTCTTTCCCCTAGTATTTTAAAAACTCCTTGTTAACTAGGACAAAATCTTAAAAATTACTTGTGACCAACTTATTATTTTAGTGATAAGATGCCACTATGTGATAATTATTTCAGGAGTTGATAAAGTTTGAATATTAGTCTTGAAAAAGAGCATACTATTGAATTGAACTGCTTGCAAAATTATTCAGATTTTAAAATATTAACAAACCTAATGAAAAAAACCCATGATGGTCTTTTATGATCAGAGAAATTACCACCACTTAGCTGCTGTACTGGACAACAATCGGTATCACAACATATCTCAGCACCAGACTTACAATTCCAGGTCAGTGACTTCGGCCTTGAACCATCTTTGAAGTGCACCTTAAGAACCAAGAATTAAATAACTCGTTTTAAATCTAGGAATCGAAATATCAATGGTCTGATTAATATTTAGATCTTTCGTCTAAATTTCGAAATTCATGAAACACACTGTTTTGAAGAACTGCTCTGGAGATATAGCGGTTGAGTTTGTCGACTCATCAGCAGCAGCCACTACAGTGGAACTTCCCTTGAAAACGTGAAGTGAGAAACAAAAAAGAAAGCAATCTGTTTAACTTTAAGATTTTTTACCTTAATTGTTTAAAATTATTTATGTGGCATAAAGATTTCTTTTAAATCTAGTTGGAAAGACCATTCAATCTAACCTTATTAATGATGCTCTTTAAAATTTTTCACCTAATAAGTACATTCCTTCTTCTTAATATTATGAATCAAAAGATTCATCTTTCTTACTCCGAGAATTGAATTTTTCTTAAAACTCATTAACCTGTAATGTCTTTAACACATCATCGATTGGCACTGAACACATGAAATAGCCATTCTTGTACTGATGATTCCGCTCATCAAAATAATAATTTTGACCATTTGATGCTCTCAAAGGTTCAGAACCAGAACGGAGAATTGCCTATAAGAAAGAAAAAAGAAATGTGAAGCATGTTCAACTGAAGAATGTACCAGGTATCAAGATCGATTGCAGTTATCAAAACTGCTAAATGTAAGTAAAGCTATACAGGAATACTGATAAAGTGACTATCAAACAATGAATAAGTCTAGGCACACTTTACACTTGTAATATTACATCAGAAAATAAAATAATCTAAGTGGACAGAACAAAACAGCGTAAACAGTATACACTGAAATTATTTCTTTCAAAATGCAGTTTTAGTTATTTTCACCTAAAAATTTGTAAAATAATATTCAACTCACTACACCGCTGTACGAAATAGCATCTGCTGGTGAAGAATGACTTGCCTTTCCTAATTCAAAAGTTGCCAAACCTGCTGCAGCTCCAAGCGCACCACCTAAAACTGCTTTCCCAAATGTTCCTTTACCGGACGGCCTGAAAATTTTCAGTTTTAATATCCTTTAGCTTTCACTTTATTTGTCGTTTTAAAAGTCCCTAAAAAAAATGAAAAAATAAGATATTATCAGTTAACAAACATATTTTTCAGCATTTAAAGCGAACTGAATGATCCAGGAAAAACCATAATTTGGCAATCTCTTCCGATCCTTCTTGGACCTCAAAAAACTATTCGCTTCTCTTTTAAATGCATACTTCATTTGGTTGGGAGCAAAACCACTTTGCTGATGATAACCACCAATTTGACTGGGATGATAACCTCCGGGTGCTGTTTGGTGGTATCCATTTTGCTGCGGGCGATAACCACCTTGTTGTGGATAACCACCCTGTTGTGGATAATAACCACTTTGCTGTGGATGATAAGCACCTTGAGGTTGGTGATAACCTCCAGCTGATGAATGAGTGTTTGATCGAGACTGGAAACTAGTAAAATTAGCGAATATTATATTACAACATTCTTGGCGACAAAGACTAATTTTTCTGCTGACTATATTGTTCCCATATACTATTAATTACTTATTAATTATTATTAAAACCGCCTACTAAAAGACTACAATTTTAAAAAAATGATTGGAAATTGTTAAATTCTATAAGATCAAAAACAGTTACATCAAGTAGATTAACATCATAAATTCAGCAACATAAAAAATAATCCGGAAACTGACTGGATTTAATCTTGCAGCGCTTGAACCACGATTTTTCCCTCCTATGCCAATTTTAAAAGCATTAGCAATTCTAGGAGTAAGCAGTAATAAGCAAATGATAACCTTGTACATATTTACCGAAATAGGAATATTACTCTGAAAAAGAGGAAACAGTAATTATAAGAAAGTAAGTCCAGTCTCAAAATAATTAGTGGACAAAGAATACTCCTTGTCATCTTAAGTTCCACACAAAATTTCCTTTGCCACAGGAAATTTCATGCAAGACGAAATTCTAATAAGTATTAACAGCGGAATTTACGAAGAGTTGTCATTGCTTCTATAGCAGATCAATCTTAAGCCAAAATCAAATCAAACCTTTCTAGTCAAAGTTCATCAAGACTGTACCTATTTAATAAAAAATTTTCCCAACAAACTTAAATAAAAGTGTTACACAATCGAAGTAATAAACCTCCCTTCTTTCATAAAGTCACAACTAAGAATAACCTTTAATTACTCAGATGGGTGACAACATAACCAGCAAAACAAAACAAATAATTGTCTCATATAAATAATGCTAATGAATTCTATGCACACCCATGCCTTTATTATCCGTGTACACATGCATACACATAGTAACAATGACAATAGCAAGTAAAGACCAAATCTAAAAATGCAGTCGTTGTGGTGGAGGTAGACAAGGTATGCTGCACATTGCTTCTCCTTTAATGCATGCAGTCCTTTTGTTCTATTATTCTGATCTGATACGCCCACAGCAAATGAACTGTTTAAACTTCCGGAAATGGAGGTAAGCATTTGCAGCCCTTATTACATCATTGAATTATTTGTTTTACTCAACGACTCTTGAATACTTGAATAGAACGAAGATTGATTCTCTTCATCGACAAGTGTCCATCAATTTATCGACGGAGAATTATTTAAAAATCATCAACTACATAGTACCAATTTTTAAATTAACGATTGTTTCCATATGAGAAGTCGATATGATAGAAAAGGGTAAAGCACTGATTGTTCTGATAAGAAATAAATATTGGACTTTAAATTGTATTTTTATTTAAGATAAATTTTGGTAACAATTTTCACAATCACCTAAATGTTTTTGGGAAGTTTGGATAAACAGAACTACTCGAATATCATTGAAAACTTGTGTTATAAAAACTTTCCACACAACGATTTCATTAATTCTAACATAAAAAGAAAAAGAAATGTAAACGGTGGGAAATTGTAATTCTTGCAAACTCTTTGTTCAAATTATAAAAATGATTAAATTCATTTGAAAATGTTTGGTCAAAGCAGTACTTAGTCGTAGAGGTTAAGAAATTCCTGAAGTTAAAGCATTCAATTTTATAGAGTTAAGAAATTGCATAATGAATAACATATGGCGAAGAAAATATGAAATACCATTTAAACCCTCGATGGACTCAGTTGATGAAGTTCTTATCAATTTTTCATTTTCGAGATAAGCCAGATTAAATTTCCATTTATTTTGTCCGAAAATTCTTCTCATTCCTGAGTGGATAACCCTAAATGTTAGCGGACCAGTAATTTTACATCATTGTCAAATCAATAAACAAGTATTCAACAGTAGGAATTTTTAAATCAATAATTTTGGTAATGAGAAATATTTTAAGGGAAAATAAATTTTCTCCCTGCATTAAAACACTGGAAGCTGTGAAGGAAAGGAAATAGCTGAGTCATTCATTTCTCATCAAATAACTGTTGTGACATTACAGGTACTTGGTATAAGCAGAAATGACATCCTTTCTCTACTTTCAACTTCCAATTTGTCATATTTATGGAAAACGGATTCAATGAAATAATATCTACTTGAAAAACTTCAACATTACCCAGTTTTTGAGAATTATGTTCCAAACAAAGCATAGTTCTTCTCAAAATTATCTGGAATTATTTCAGCAATCTCAGGTCATTTAGCGTAAAGAGTAGCACATAATTCTCAATATCAGAGAATAACCAAAGGATGGGAAAGAAATAAACATCAACAAAACGATCGATATTTCACTTTACATCTATGAACCGATTTCTTAATTTCAGCTGTGATGATACAGATAGATCTCAGCATAAATAAATGGAAGGCATACTGACAATCGAGCTTTGATCTTTGGCCACTCAATTAAGGAACATAAAGCGAGGGAGATGGTCAGTGGTAATGCGTATCTTATCATTTCACCTATCATTAATCGATAATACTGGACATATCCTGCTCATAAGAAATATAAACAAAGTAGTGCATTTATCATGCAGATAGACATGATCTCCCTGCACTCATTAATTTGTCAGTTATTTAATTAACAGCCATTCCTCAGTTCAAAATGTTATACTCCCTTAAATTCTTGTTAAATTCCGGTTTTTTTCAAAATTTTTTCTTCACCTGGCACCCTCATGAAATAAAGCAGATAGAATAGATAATGTGAGTGAGGTGAAACAAATAATACAGAATAGATAGATGATATAAGGCAAGTAGATAGATTAAGAGACAATTTATACAATAAAAACTTCTGCGATATTACAAATTTAACATTTGGCATAAAAAAATTTAGCAATAGTATATGCGATAATACCAATTTATATGAATATCTAACTTTGTGTTACTTTGGAGATAAAAAATAATTTTTGTGCTAAGGGCGACACCTGCATAAAAGGGACGCATATACAGGTGTACCATCCAACCCTACAAATCGATAGTCACAATCGATACCTGTAATTTTCCCCATGAACGGTTGTTATAGCAACGACACTGTGAAAGATAGAGAAGCCAAAGGGTGTGTCGTTGTAGGAACGCTGGATCAGAAATTTGTTAGGAGTGTCATGCGAAATCCGTGTCAAATCCGGTTTCCGTTTTCTTTGTTCGTTAATACACTGCTGCATACGATTACCTTAAGTTATAAATAAAACACAATTTTATGTGATTTGATTGCTAACAGTCAACGGAGAGGACTTTTCAGACTCACGGACGGATTCCATTTCGCAGGAAAGATAGAGTCATGGAAGAGTAGGAAAGTGAATTTCTCTTGATAAGTGACATCGGACTGTCATTTTTCACTAAGAATTTTTAATCGACGAAAAAAATTCTTTTCTAAATGCATGTATGAGATTGATAATGATGTGTCGAAATTTATTTCTCAACACACAACAACAAACTGGGTAAATTAAAAACACTTCCAAGAAACACTCTCTGTTTTTTTTTTTTTTTTTTTTTTGAAATTCAGAAATATTTGAAAATCAGTTTGCTTATAACATTTCTGAGAAGTATAATTCAAAAATAAGTTTTCAACAGACACTGTCAACTATAGACGTAAAACTTCCGAACTGGAATTTGTAGGAGATGAAAACACATTCTGTTACATCCTCCACATTCAAAGAAAGGAAAACTGTGTAGAAGTTTTTCTACACAAAGACTGGATGATGCTAGACAAAAAGTACTAAAGAAGAATTCAATGCAATTTAATTATATTTGCCGAAATTTAGAAAATAAGTACAACTTTATGTGAATTATCATGAACAACAAAATGTGCCTCAAATCTCAAGATATATTTACTGTGATGATAAAACAATTTATTTCCATCAATTTATGCTTCGAATATTAGTGAAATTCTATTGCCTATTGGAAATTAAAGTTAATTAATTGTTTGAGACATCCAAGGGAAAATTGAAATATGTTAAATAAAGGTACTTTTTCAGTAGTAGAATAACACATTTCTTCTTAAAAAATGTTTGCATTGGATCGTTAAGGTAAAATAGAGCTGAAGTGGGAATAACTGCATTCAAACTGAAAAAATTTTAATTAAAAGCAACAGAAAAAATAAGCTTGCAATTAAAAAAGTAGGCACATAAAAGTTAATTCAAAATTAGTTCGAACTTTCTAATCAAAACTGTCAATAAAACATTCTCGACATTCCTTATAAAGTCTAGAAAATTTTCAAAACGAACGAGATGACTTCTATATTCTGCTAACCTTAATCAAATTTACTTTCATGGCGCATCTTCTTGTTCGCTATATCATAACTTTTTACTGCTTATGTGTCTAAGAAAATGATAAAGAAGACCTTTGTCGGTAAGAAATCATGATTTCGGCTGTAAGGTATGCCAGTGAACAGCAGGTCTCTTAGTACACATCATTTCAAGCCATTGTTTCTGGCTGGTGATGCTAACTGTGAAGTCATTGAGAGATGGAGAGCCAAGCTTTACTTCTCCGATAAAGTCATTTTTACTCATCTTGTCATAATCCCAAACACTGATAACCAAATGCACTTTCTAAAAAAAATTTGCATGAAACTTACTAAAGTTTGATTGGACGTGTAATATACATAATTCATAGTTCGTTTTTAGAGTAGTAGCAGTAATAGAAATAGAACAATCAAAAAAATTATTTCTATCTTTTAGGATTATATATTTGAAAGCAGCTTAAAGCTTAAACTAAATCGAGTCCAAACTCACCTCCAATAATTCCTGTTCCAGTTTGAACTGAAAACTTTCGTTGTAATATGGATTCAGTGTTTTGTATTTTCGTGTTGTCTTCTTCTTTGATATCAATTTTCGTCCATTATACAAATGTAATTTGATAAATGGATCTAAAACTGGGCGCAAAAGTTGAAATTAGCAGTGAAACCAACGAAGTTGAGTTCCAGAAATCCTAAAGGCTTGAAATACTTTGATCACTAACCTGACAAACCTCCAACATCCATTTTCTTAAGATTTCGAGCTTCCATTATTGTTACAGTTAAAATCATTGTACTTGGCCGATATCGCAAAGAGAAGCAAAGATCACCAAGTCGTGACTCCTAAAGTGAAGTATTAAATTTCATTCAAATTCTTCCTGTTTGGAACTGCCTTGTTCCTTCATCCAAACTATGCTTTGAGAAGGTCATTAATATTTTCGATAACTTGAAATGGAAGTCCATAAATAGATTACTCTTTCTCAAGGCCTATACGGAATAGCTGAAAACTCACTGAGTTAGTTTCACATTCCGGAGGATTTAGTTGAGACCATTTCTCGACAGTAATACCAAAATCAACTTTCTCTAGAGGTATTGACAGCTGACCAATTCGGTCATCCTTCCTTAATCGGTCAAAATCGTATACAACCAATTGAAGTG